TCTTTGAACCTCAGGCTTATAAGGAAACTTATACTTGTCAAATTCAAGATTCCAAAGAGGTATAAATAACAATTACTTACAGTAGGTATCAGATAATTTTTATCAAATCCAATGGTAAAAAGTAATTAAATAAATATTACAATATTTTATGGTGGGTAATAGGTACATAACCTGACACAGTTATTAGTAATTATGTAATTGATGTTGGATGAAGTGCAATGACAATGAATTAGATTGTTGAAAAATAAATATTAGTTGTGTAAAATAAATGCTTTTTATTAGGCTATATTAGGATATACTAATGAATTACTGTGTAATTCATTAGTAATTAGCACAATCTTATTGGTTTTAAACATATCTGAAATATCAGATCAGAGATATGTATAGCACTTATCATTTGAGAGCATTTTTCTAATTTGAGGAATTTTAAGATTTTGAAATGAAACTGAAGAAATCAGTAATAATAATTATAAAAAATAATTTTTTTTTAATCTAGATTAAGAATAATTTTATTTATTGAATACCAGATATTTTTTGGTAAACAGTTAAAATTTACTGTTTGGCTTGGAAGTTTTTACTCATCTGCCATATTCACCAGATATTTCAAATTACAGTCTTTAAAGAATTTGTTTAATAAAAAATTTAAAATATTCAATTCCCTTGAAGAATGCAAAAGGCATCTAGAGCTGAGAAAAAAAACAGGTGGATGGAATTATGAAGTTACCCAAAAGATAATGGAACAAAATGATAAATATGTTGCTCAGTAAAGTTAATATTAAGAAACAAAAATTAACTTATTCTTAATAACCAAATACACTTTACAAGTTTTAATTGAAACAATATTTCTTATCCAGTGCTACTGCTGAATACAAACATCAAGTATTTCATATTTTAATAATTATATTTATTTATCTCTTCAAATCCAAGAGGTCTAAGTTAATCACACAAAGTAATAAAATGTCAATAGGAAAAACAAAAACACAATAAATTTGTATCAAAGATTTGAAAATGTTATAAAACAGTTTTTATTTTTGTTTAACATTTTCAAAAGGAAAAATGTCAAGAATAAACAAATTATACAAGTACCAAATCATAAGTTCTTTTTTTACAGACCAGTAGATAAATAAAACTATTTTATTTACTTTTCATGTGAAGAAAAGAAATGAGAATATTTTGTCTTCATTTTTGTTGTCAAAGTAAAAAATGTTTTTATTACATTAGTCAGTAGCGGACTTGGCAGGGTGTCAAGCTTACCCATGACAAGTGAGCCTCTAATATCAAATAAAAATGCAATAAAGAAGCAAACACAGCCGACTGTTTTAAAAAGGAATAAGAACTTTATAAAGTCATCTGCACATTATCAGTTACTCAAGTCCATTATGAGAGGGCATTTTCAAAGCTAAAGATTGGTGAATTTCTTAATCTTGTCTTTAAGATTAAGAAATTCACTGTCTGAGGAGAATTTCAAATCATACGTGTAGCTATCCACTGAAAAGGAATTGCTAGATGAACTGGATGCAGAAGCGGTTATTGGCAAATTCATACAACCATCAAGTGAACATAAATCATTGCCCTTAATATAGTGAACTGCATGTAATGCTCTATTATGCTCTTGAATTATTTGTTAATGTGTGAATTGTGCAATAAACTATTTAAAAATATCAAACAGTTACTCAAAATTACTAAAAATAAATAAAAAATTCAATTGTAACATTAGGTATACATTTGGTATATACTGCCAGTACTATGTACAGTGTACTATGTACACTGTAATTACTAATACACAATTTTTCTACAAAAATTGTGTCTTTTTCCATATTTATTTTTTTGAAAATTTTATTTATTCTTTATGAAAATTCAATAATAGCATTGTAGTTGTGTGTGTGCCCACTGTCTCCTGGTAACTAATATTTTTAAACCCAGTTTGCCACTGACAATGCTCTCCTGAGTTTTCTAAATTAATCTATTGTATCCAAATTATGCATAAACTACATATAAATTAATCTATATATATATATATATATATATATATATATATATATCTTGCTTAGGAAAATTAAATTTACTTGTACTTCATGTGAAAAATTATTTAAATTTTGTATCTAAAGAGTCATGAGACTAAAGTTTCTCTATATTAATCTTTTTAGTTAATGATAGCTTATTAAATTGGTTCACAGTGGTGTAATGGATAATGGCAGAATAAATAATTTGAGCGCCAAGTTCAGTTTCCAGTTGAGTCACTTATGCCTATGAATCCATCTCCCCCCCACCAGCTATGGTTAAATAGCAGGACAGAATAAGCCCTACAGCTTTGGTTGTCAACTAGACTAAAAGGAAAACTCTGAATTCGAAGCAGCCTGGAGAGGGTGGGTCTTTGCCAGGCTATCTTGCCTAAGACACACTACTTCTGCTACAGCTGCACTACATGTGGTAGTTCTATGAAGTTACAGGACTCATGATATCAAATTAACAAACCCTAAGATTAAGCCTAAATTTTTTTAATCTACCACTTAAGCCAAACTCTCCTTTAAAAAGAATATCAAGAAAGAAGCAATTTACATGAGAAAAAAAAACAAAAAAAAACGTTAATGAGATAATGTTTAGTCATACTTTCTTAATATTGGTTTGGAACAAAAGTTCATAACATTTTTCAATACATGGTGTTTGAACACATAATTTCGTTTTACATATGAATAAATTTATGACATATACATATTCTGAAAGATGATATTTCAGATATCTTAAATGGGAAGAACTTAAAATTTTCTGGAAGCCTGAAAAACCCAATTAGACCAATTCACCACCCAGCAAGATCCAAGTTCTTGGAGGGCAAAATCAGGAAGCTACTTCAAAGATGGTAAAAGGTAGTGGAACAAAATGATATATAAGTGGTTAAATAAATCTATGTCCAAATATCTAAATATTGTCTTTAAAATTCCCTTAAAAATGCTAACAACTTTTGTTTCAACCCAATATTTATATTCCTTCTAATTACGAATACTATATTTGGCAAGTTGTTTAGACTTGTTGATATCAGTGGATTAAAAATAGAAACAAGAACTGAAAATGCTAACAATAAACATGCATAAGTAAGCACTTTATAAATGAATACAAATATATAAAAGTATAAAAAGAAAATATTAAAATAACCAAAATTAAATAATTTTGACTTGACCAAAATAACATGAATAAAGCATTAACTAGTTCTTTTGGAATTTGCTTTTTAAAAAATATTTTTTAATAATAGTAACACCAAAATAGCTAAAAACAATAACCCATTTACTTGAAGTAATCACTTTAACTATTATATAAAAGAGCAGATTTTATTTTCTTTTAAAATTAACAACATCCATTGCAAATAAACCTAGAGTAACATAAAATATTGTCAGAAAGATGATGAAAAGTGATTGAAAATCTATAGTAAGGAATTCATTCTTATTGAATTTGTCCAGAATTCTTTAAATACTTTTGAATTCATTTCATACAGATTATTCAGCTACATAAAGTTAGAATTAATTTCATCCTAATTTCAGAACATTATTATAAATTCAAGTATAAACCACATAAACAAATTATCTACAATTAATATTATGAAGTTGCTTTTGTTATTGCTGTCAGATTCAAGACATTTGTTATCACAAATTTATATAAAAAACAGAATTTCTATTTTCAAACAAGGGATCTTTGCTGTGAAAATTAACAAGCTAGTTTCACAAACACTTATTCTTTTGTAACAAGCTAAGCTAAGCTTAGTAAATATTTTATTTTAAATCAATAGAACAGTAACTAGTTTAAGTTTTGTAATATCCTTAAAAAACCTGCTAATTATAAATATCTATTTTTACTATTCTGTATTAAAGAGTTGGTCAAAGTGTGGTTTGTGAGTTACATACAACTCTTTATTACTTAATGTGTCAGTGGAAGTATGTTAGTTCCTCTTTACAATTAACATAAAAGAAATATTTTTGCAGGGGTGGAGTTCAAAATTTTATTAAAGCAATAAAAGTAGATATCTACTTTAATTGCTCTAAAAATTTTGTACCCCATCTACAAAAATACCTGATGAACCTTCCTAATAAATTCAATTAAAAGAATCTAATCTAGTTTCTGAGCATATGAAGCCTGATGTGGTAAAATTTTTAATGAAATTGATTTTCAACTGTTTAGAACAAAAGGAATCCCACCAGGTATATAAACCCATAAAAGGTTTGTTTCCAATACACCGATATAAGAAATCCTGTATTCAATCCATGTATCATGACATCAAGTAAAAGAAGAACACCATTGTTCTCCTTTTCATGTTAAATGCAATACAGGGTGCAATGTTTTTTTAGGTACTGAAGTTAAAAAAATGCTTTGATGAATCATGGAAAACTCAACCTCATTTTCTTACACATAAAATAAAAATCATCCACATATCAAACATAATACCTGGGTCCTTCAATATGAGCAAGTAACTTTTGCTTGAAAAACACTGAAATTATATATCCATGCTCATCAATAACGGACAGATTATGTCCAAAGCATATATTGTCAAAATAAGATAAAAACCCTAAACCTTCCTGTGGACAATTTTATAATTTCATCAAAAATAAAAAATTAAAGAGGAAGATTCAGGTTTATTAGAAGTTGTGTCATGGTTTTTGTCTTATTTTGACTAGCATGGATATGCTAATTCACAAATTAATCATCAAAAGAAGTTGTAATTTCTAATAATTTTTTTTAGTCATTCCACCCCAAGCAAGGGAATAAAGCCACTAAGACACAAGGGGATAACTGAGTATTAAAGAAGGAGAAAAAAAAAACAGGAATAGGAAGCAAAAGCTAACGATTGACATTGCATTTAAATTTTTAACATCCTTTTCTAACAAATTGCTACAAATACAAATCAGTCAGTACAAAATTTATCTCTAGAAACAATAAACAAAATTATTTTTCTTTCTGTTCCACCTCAAGAGACTTCAGAAGAAAAAAAGAATTTAAAATAAGATTAAAATTACCTGATATTCATCACTTGATTTCGTCATTGAATTTAACAGTAAAGGTTGGAATTCTGGCCACACCATGAAGGTTTCATCAGTAGGAAGAATTTCAAAATTATGCTTTTGAGTGACCTGCAAAAAGGTTTTAAGAATAATAGCAAAATTAATCTGTTGCAACAAAAGTGATACTAATTTGCATGAAAATATTTGGAAGAAAGCTTACAGCTTATAAATCTTTTAATATTATTTCTTCAGTTACTTTATTCCATGATGATTAGTAAACACAGATTGGAAACAACAAATAGAAATCAAACTCATAATTTTTTTTATCTAAGAAAGCTGATCACAGCAGATTTACAAAAGCAAATAATTGCAAATCACAACATATAGACTTAATTTTTTCATTTTCCTTAAACACCTGCCACTTTACTTTTATCTTTAATATTTTGTTCACATACACGAGTAGTCTGAGAAATATCAATAATGTTAGTAATAGTGTTATTATTAGATGAATTATAGTAAACTAGTATACCCTTACAAGCACAAAATTATTAGAAAGTTTTCATATTGAGATGCAATGAAAAAAGGTTTTGAAACAATGTATAGGATATTCAAGATTCGGCTCATTCCGTGTCAAATCAACAAGGGGTTAGACTATGTCCGACATGTTGAGCAGTCACCCAAATAGCAACTTGCTGATGCCTCATTGCATGTAACAGCAAGTATGCATTGGTGGTAATCTGTCAAATGATAATTTTCTCCTTCAGTCAGTTTACCAAGATAAGATCCTGAAATCATCAACTTCATATTCTGATGGATTGTGCAAATGCAGACAGTATGAGTCCCAGCACCACCTGCTAGCACACATTCTTTTGGTCTAAGCTCAGCGAATTTAGAGAAGCTTATTTTCTCCTGGTTCTTTGATTTGAATAATTCAAATGCCTCTTTCAAGTTACAGAGAACAAGATATTTTTGTTCCTGAACCCGTTTCCCATCCTTTAAAACCGTCTTTTAATCATTTTTTCCAGGCATCACTCTACTGACTTCATCACTTTTATAAAACTGCCTCACTTTATCAATCGTCTCTTGTGGGAATCTAGTTTTTTGTGTATTTGGCAAAGCTAAAATTCCTTCCTCATTCACACATTTTTTTGCTTGTCTCGCCATGTACATTGTAGTGCCAAATTCTGTTTGTATTTTGCTTAGACTCCAGCTTTTTGGAAGTACAGTCAGAATTTGAATTCTTTGTGATCTCTTTTCACTCACAACAAACTTCTCTTTCAAAGTTTTGGTGTTCTGCGCTAGTTGATTCCTCATGAGAAATGTTTGATGAAATTATACTGATTCTATCAGATATTGCTCCTGTAAACTTTTTCTATATATTTCTATATATCACTTTTTCCATACCAAAATCTATGTTACATTAGAAAAAAAATGAAGAAAATTCAGTTTCATCACCAGAAAAAATTTTTTTTATTGATTTCATGACCATGGTCCTTATGTGAATATTAATCAGCATTAAAATAGCTTCACAAAGATATACAACTTGACCATATAGTGAAATATCAAAATGTTTTTATATGAAGTAGCAGATATTACATTCCGCCATTTTGAATTTTGCCCAGTTCTATAAAACACTTGTAACAACAGTTCTAGTGGAATGCCCATCATGAAATTTGGAATATATACTGTCATAAGATAGACAAATCTTTTGTCAAAATTTTAAATAAATTAAAATAACGGTTTTTGAGATAAATCAGATCAAAGGTCAAGGTCAACTTTTTATTTGACCTCTAAAAAAAAAAAAAAAAAAAAAAAAAAAATCCCTAGATAAAATTGTAGATCTATCCAAGTACTTTAGAATGATATATGAATGAAATTTGTAGGTCCATAAACAACTGAGATATCATCTTTTAAAGTTGGTCACTATTCACATTTTCATAAAAAGGTCAGAGGTCATATCTCAGCAACCCCTTGACCTTGAGATGTGTAACAAGTGCCATTCAATTCCTTTCATGGAGATCTATAAATGTAGCAAATTTGAAAAAAATCCATGTCGGACATGGTATTTGCCCCCCCCAAATTTGTTGATTTGACAACTGAGATCCAGAATTCATAACTAAAATAGAGGTTAATGAACTGTTTAATTAATCTGTTCCTTTGTTTCTCAAAGACTTTTTGTTATATTTAATACACAATAAACAATTACATGTATTTCATTATATCACAAATGTTCACAACTTAAGCAGTTCTCTTGTAATAAGTTGTTTTTAAAAAGATTTCCTTGGTGGTTTTTACTTTTGATATCAAACTGCTAAAAATGAAAAAAGCCTCAATCCATGTGTTGCAAATCTTAGTAGCCATTTACAACTTAAACAGAAGCTACTGATGAACTGTTTAGTCAATTAATTCCTTTATCATTACATTTCTTTTGAAGAATGCTTTTGTTGACTATTTTTTTTAATTCTTATTTTGAGGTTGTTTTTATTTTTGGTTCTACTGAGAATAATGTACAATTGTCCATGAGCAAACAATGGGGCTGCTACATAGACAGCAAATTGAGAAAATGATTGACCTTACAACTTGTTAATAGAATTACATAGAGTTTGACATGACACACACACACACATATATATACATACATATATATATATATATATATATATATATATATATATATATATCTGTAAATGCATATTGGTCATTTTTATATAGTGTTGAGTATTCATTTTGACTAGTATTTTTTTCATCTTTTCAACTACTTTTTATTACAACTACTCAAACAATCAGCCTTAATTTTGGCATCATTTTTAATTTTTTTAAAACCATATCATTTCAGGAAGTAAGCAATCATAATTCTCCACAGCTTCCTTTTATTTATAACATCTATGAATTCCTATGACTTCTTGTGCAAGAGGAGTGGTTTCTCATTTCTCCAGAGTTTTGAATCAGAGTAGTCCTACTTATAGACTGGTTGCTGTATAAGGCTAGATGGCCCACACAACTGTTTAAAAACCCTTGTTTTTGTCCTATAGGAAAATTCAATATGGCACTTGAATAAAATATTTGGCAAAAAAAATCCCATTCATCAGTAACATTTTAAACCCCTCATAGAATGTAAAGTTCTCAAAGCAAACCTGTGCCAAACTGTTTTCCTGAATCCTTGATGACTTGGCTGTCCGAAAATGACAACATCAAGATGAAATAATGGAAACTGACCATGGAAAACAATTATGTGCAACAAGTTTTCAATCAATCAGTTAACTTCTAGATGTTATAGGATCCAGACGGCCATTGTTTGCACATGGAATTATTCACTGGTAATTAATCTTCAATTTGGCTGTGAAAAATGTCACTCGGGGGTTAGCATTAAAAAATTATAGCTAATTTTCTGAGAAAAAATAATTTTTTTAATGAAAAAAATATCCTTTTTCACTTCAAAACAATTTTGTTCAAACTTCAATCCGTTCTCTCTAAGTTGGTGTGAATGTCATTGAATAAAACAAAATGCTATATGACCCAATGATGGGAAATATGAAAGACATGGCGAAAAAAACAATGTCATCTGCTAAGTGTTAAAGAAACAAAACAAAACACATCAAGATCTTTTTACCAATATTTCATCTTTTTTTTTTCACTCTTAGCTCTTATCTTGTCAGTGGTGAGATTTACAAGTTGACAATGACATTTATTGCTGGCTAACTGGCCTTTGACCCAGACATGTCATTGTCAATTTGGTTTAATTTTCTTTATTGCTGCTATTTATTTTTTTTTAAATAACTCCTGGTCAGGAATTGAGGATAAATCTTTCACCTTTTACTAAAGATTTCTGTGGCTGGGTGTCAATTTTTTTAACCCCCAGCAGCTATAGAATTGAAAATTACCAACAGACTTTGCTGAATTTTGACTTCCTAGGAATGTTGTCTTCCTTCAAACTCTGAATTTTATGCCTGAAATAGTTTAATTATGATTTAGGCTTTCTGATTTAAAAAAAAAAAAAGGGTAATTTCCCATTATTGGGGAAATTTTTTTTTTAGAACTAGAAAAAAATGAAAAATTTTCACTATTTTTTCACATTTTACCCCCTGAAAAAAAATCTTTGAGTCATTTACAACAGCCAATTTTACTTTTAAATGAAAGAATATATCCTTTGCTTTCAGAAAATACCTAGTTTCATGGGGTTCAGATCAAAAGTTTCCTTGATATTTGTTTAGATGATGATAAAACAGTCATTTTTCAATATTTTGCCCCTATAAAAGTATGAAAATCCATTTTTTCAGAGAAAATAAACTGACAAAATGACTTTTGCCATTTTTATGATGATTTTTACTTGAGAGAAAATTTTTACCATAGCAAACCTGAATTGACTTTATTTAAGTTTTGAGGGGCTATAGGAACCCTCAAACAGCTGTGCCTAGTCTACCTTACTATTTAACCTATAGCTAGAGCAGGGAGGAGAGATACCTACATACTTTTCCCAAAGACATTAGTATGAGAGTGAATTCAACAGACTAAATCGGAATTTGAACTCCACTTTCCACATCAATAACCATTACACTTCATATAAACTAAACATCCTAATTTAATTCTAACAAAACTTAAATATAAATAAAACTCAGTAAAAATAAAAGATTGCACACTAATATTCTCAATCTTTTTAATAATTGCTGCAGACATTTTTTTTTTTTACTGTCATCATTCTTTTTAACAGGAATGAACATCACTTTTGCTTGAAGCTAGTGTAGAAAAATGAGAATTTCTGTAAAACTCTTCAGTGGCTAACACTAAAATATGTTGATTCAAGGAATTAAAATTCACTAAATTTGGATATAGACTATTTTAAAAGTTTACAAATGTTTTTACTATTGATAACATATGTGATAAAGCCTGCTTAAATTTATGAGAATATCATTGAACAGGTGAAGTATAAATCACCAAAAACAAGAAAACTTGATGTTACAAATGTATATTGTTAACATTAAAATGTATCATATGACAAACAACTCTCTAGTAGGGCAACAATAAAGCAAAGTGGATTAAGGTCAATTCTTATTAACTTAATCCTTTAAGAAACTTAGTTGCATATGATTATCAGTTTGAACATTATGAGTTAGAGTAAAAAAACAATGTTA